CCGTGAGAAGTTTTTTCGTTTCTGAATTAGGGTTTTTGAAGGATCCTTCTCTTCTTCGGCTGAAAAAGGTTTATCCTTCGTTAATTGTCTATCTGAACTTGGGTTTTGTTCTCTTGTTGATTAATTGTCGCCGATTCTTCGTGAACATTTGAAACTTGTTTTTCGTTTCTGGGTTTCGATTGCTCTGTTTCTTTCGGATCAAAAAGGAGGTCTCTTTCTTTATTTCTGATTATATCTGTATTGTAGATGAATGGAGAATGCATCTTTGATTCTCGGCTCGTGTATTTCTTCTTTTGAATGGGCATGCATGTTATTTCAGATCATCAAGGGATAGGTTTTCTAGTAAGCCATAGAACCATTGTCTGATCGAGCTGAATTTGATGTGATTATTGAAAACCATCCAAGGAATTTGATTGTTTTCATTTTGATGCAGCTTCTGATCCATGTTCGAATCAATTTAGTAATTTACGAACTCGATATTAGTTTCCTTTCATGTCTTTCTTGTGGTGTAATATGGAGCCTAAAGGGAATTAGATTAACAATACAGTTGCAGAGATGCATTTATGCCTTGTTAATGAATCTTTAGTGGTAGGCCTTTGTCTTCTCTGCATTTGTATTTAGATCAAACTTTGGTCTTACTGTATGCCAAAGAAATTTCATGTCTTCTTGATGGTGTGTTCATGTCTAACACGGGATTGATTTCCCCTTTCATGTATACTCATAAAGTTATGTGTGCTTGTGTGCCTTGCAGGTTTTCACAAGAAATGACTGGCTCTGGTAAAGAAACTGAGCCAGAATGGATCGAAAGAGTGAAATCAGAAGGACCTGTTCCCTGTCTTGAGCCAGGCAACTTCAAGAACGGTTGGACAACACCGTCTCCTGACACATTTATGGTTAGAGGACCACATTATCTCTCTGACAAGGTTAAAGTACCTGCTGGTGATTTCCTTCTAAAGCCTTTGGGTTTTGATTGGATTAAAGGACCTAAAAAGCTTTCTGAGATCCTAAGTTATCCGAGCAGCAGAATCAGGAAAGTTCTCGATGAGGAGTGTCGAAAAGATGGAAATAAGCCTTTTGTTTGGGCATTCAATCTCCAGCTTCCCCATAAAGACAATTACAGTGCAGTGGCTTACTTTGTTGCCACAGAGCCTATCCTTGAAGGCTCTTTGATGGATCGGTTTCTGAAAGGAGATGACGGGTTTAAGAAATCGAGGCTAAAACTGATTGCAAACATTGTCAAAGGCCCTTGGATCGTTAGAAAAGCTGTTGGAGAGCAAGCGATCTGTGTGATCGGACGTGCGCTGTCTTGCAAATATGTTACAGGAGAAAACTTTGTGGAGGTTGATGTTGATATCGGTTCTTCAATGGTCGCTAGCGCTATTGTTCATCTCGCGTTTGGCTATGTTACAACATTGACCGTTGATCTTGCTTTCCTCATTGAAAGCCAGACCGAAGCAGAGCTTCCGGAAAAGCTGTTAGGAGCTGTGAGATTCTCTGAGCTACAGACCGAATCAGCCATATCTACCGAACTGTCCTCGAGCACCAGTAATGACCAGTCAGATG